TTCCTTTAATCACAGTGCTTCGAAGGCAGAAGCAGGTGGATCTCTGAGTTTGAGGCCAGCCTGGTCTACAAAGGGAGTTCCAGGATACCCAGGGCTACAGAGAGAAAACCTGTCTCAAAAACAAACAATTACAATATTCTAGCTCCGTGGCAGAGTGTTTGATCAGCATGGGTAAGGCCCTGGCTTCCTTCTCCAAAACGATAAACAGCAAAGTAAACACAACCCATCAAACCATTCTGGTTCATGCTCAAGAGAGAACCCCAAATATCTCTCTGAATTCTCAAACCCTTTAGTCATTAATGGAGTTGGAGTGAGGAATAATAGAGTGTTCTTTGTTTTGTCTGCTCCGCACCAAAGTTCCTTTGGCTGGAAGCCTAAAACTCTAAAACCAATGATGAGCATAGCATGAAAACCAAAAACTAAAAGTCCTGAAGCCATCCAATTACAGTTTCACTTGGAAAAAATTATTTAAATTCACCTGTTAGATTAAGTGGCTAAGGCTGGGCAGTGGTAGCACACACCTTTAATCCCAGCACTCCATTTGGGTGGCAGAGGCAGGCCAGTCTCTTGATTTCAAAGCCAGCCTGGTTTACAGAGTAAGTTCCAGGACATCCAAGGCTACACAGAGAAACGCTGTCTTGAAAAATCAAAACAAAATGAAGTGTTTAGGAGACATCTCAGTGGTAAAGGGTATGATTGGCATGCCCAAGGTTCTAGGTTCAATCATAAATAAATAATAAAAGCATTTACAAACTTGAAGAAAATTCAATGAACAGAATATGCATGCATACTAAGTGTTGGTGGGGCTCAAACCCAAGACTTGACTGCTGCTAGAGAAGTACTCATATTAGCCGATACTCTTAGCCACCGTCAAGGGAATATTAACACAGTATATTATTAAATGGAGAGTTTTTCCAGATCTGTGATCAGGATTTGGGAGTTTAGCAACTATTTTACAGCTGCAATCAAAACCACCAGGATGTAAACAGTAAGTAAAGAGTTCTGACTTGGCAGATTGTTGTGGTAAATATATTTACTGTTGACTTATCTTTTAGTAAAGCAGTGGTTCTTGCTAAAGCAGCTGTATACCCAAATCACCACACAGAGACTGGGATTTATTTAATTAACCTAGAGCACAATGCTGGGCAATAGTTACTCCATCCTAAACCTCCAAGCCCACATAGTTTCCTACCATTCAGATTTTACTCATTATACGTGCTTTTAGTCATATCTTTGTTTCGGTCCCATCTCCCCAAATGGTTCCAAAACCTCTCCTTTGGATTCTCCTCTTCCCTCTCTCCCTGCTACCTTCCTCTTCCTCCCACTCTGGACCAGGATGTCCCACCCTATCCTCTCCATTGCTCAGCAATGTGGCTGGTTGTTTTAATTGACATTTTAGAGAACAAATGGTGGCATGTTTACACAAACTTGAGACAGGTGATGCTTAGAATAAGCATCACAGTGCAATGTCTGGATTGAAACCAGATAGTGGGGGGAGAAAATCAGCATTTGAATCAACAAGGGTAAATTGTGTACATTCCAAAAGAACATTATACCAACATCCGAAGCACATTTTTTTTTTTTTTTTAAGATAAGCTACCATAACAACTGTTATCTAAAAGAGAGTTTGGGGCTGCAAAATCCAGTCTCACTAAAAGGGACATTTATTCACTTGTATAACAAGAGTGCAGACTAACTTTCAGGGTTAGTCAGCTTTACCAGTGACCTTGGATTTTTCTTATTTATTTTACCTACTGTGTTCAGGTACTTGTTTTTTAATCTGCCCGGTCTCATTCACAGTTTTGTTTGTTGCTTTGTTTAAAAGGCTGTCTAAGTGATGTATATCACAGGTAATTTAAAGCAGAAATAAATTTTCATCTAAATGGATAGTATAAGCTGGGTATGGTAGCTCAAACCTGTAATCCCAGCACTCAGGAGGTTGAGGCAGAAAGCTGGCCACAAGTCCAAGGCTAATCTGAACTACATAGCAAGTGTATTTCCAACAAAACAAACAAACGAAAAGCAAAAAGCTGAGCACAGTGGTACTCTCCTTTAGGCCCAGCACTTCATTGGCAGAGGTAAATAGATCTCTGTGAGTTCAAGGCCAGATCCTTTTGACCTGGTCAATATGGTGAGTTCCAGGTTATCCAGGGCTACACAATGAGATACAGTCTCCAGCAAAACCAACCACCAACCAACCAACCAACCAACCAACCAGACAGACAGACAGACAAAAACAGAGCCAGGGTAAAGCTCTAGGTTTATCACCATTTCTCTGTACTGCCTAAAACTGGGCATGTGTGATGCCACATGCCTGTAATTACAAATTGGGGAAGTAGAGACCACTTAAGAGTTCAAGGTCATTACTGACTACAGAGAGAGCTTAAAGCCAGCTTTAAGTAAAACCCTATGTAAAAAAAAAAAAAAAATCCACATTTTAACATTTAAATCATTAATAAGGAAGACAAAAATTTTCAACATTTTCTGGAAATAAGTCTTAAAGTTACTAGGTTATAAAATAAATTGATTAATATTCAAAACAAACAGGAGCTTCCAGAATGCATTTGGAGTTAATGCCTCTTCAGACAGGGTTTCTCTATGTAACAGCTTTAAATGTCCTGGAACTTTATACACCAGGCTGCCCTCAGACTCACAGAGATCCACTTGCCTCTGCCTCCTGAGTGCTGGGATTAAAGATAGGAGCCATCAACTCCTGGAGGTCAGACAACAGCTTTAAGAGTCTGTTCTCTGCCTACATTATGTGGGTCCTGCAGGCTTGGCAGCAAGTGCCTTTACCAGCTGAGCCAACTCCCTGGCCCGTGTTATCTGTTTTCTACTCTATTAGCTAAGAATAGCACAAGTCTGAGGACTAAGAGGCGGATGTTCCTCCTGTCGGATTTTAAGGTGTATAGTTTTCTTTTTGTGGTCCTGTGGACTGAAACTAGATTCTTGTACATACCAGGGAAGCGCCCCTTGCTCCACTGAGATGTACCTCCAGCCTCCTTTCACTTTTTGAGGGAAGGCCTCACTGAGTAACTCAAGCTAGCTGTGAGCTTGTGATTCTCCTGCTTCAGCCTTTCAAAGCACATAGAATTGCATGCCTGTGCCACCAGGCATTATGGTTCTTGGACTTTAAGCCATGCAACACTTTTTACTTTGTTTTGATTTTTTTTTTTTTTGAGATAGGGTTTCTCTGTGTAGCCCTGGCTGTCCTGGAGCTCACTCCGTAGACCAGGCTGGCCTTGAACTCATGGGTTCAACCGCCTCTGCCTCCTGGGTACTGGGATTCAAGGTGTGCTGCCACCATTACCAGTCTTCAGACCAACCTCAACAGCCCAGCCTCAGTATTTCTGTCTCGGGGCATCTTCTAGAGCCTCTGAAGCCCAACCAACAAGCATAGTGGCATGCACACAAGTTGGTAGGTGACCCAAGTCAAGGTGATTGGGTACAGTTAGAGCTAAGAATAGGGCTTCTGCTTGAGGTAGCTAGAAACCATGCTCTTTTTTTTTTTTTTTTTAAGATTTATTTATTTACTATGTATAACAGATCTCATTCTAGATGGTTATGAGCCACCATGTGGTTTCTGAGAATTGAACTCAGGACCTTTAGGAAGAGCAGCCAGTGCTCTTAACCTATGCGCCATCTCTCCAGCCCAGAACGATGCTCTTAATTTCTACTGACCTTAGAATTGTGAGGGTCCAGTAAAAACCAAAGTTGGAAGAGGAGGGGATGGGATGGTTGAGAGACAGAAACTGTTTCTTTACTTCACCTGTTTACTTGTTTTCATGTCTAGATGTGTGGGAAGAGAGAGTGACCACCAATTCTAAGAAGAAGCCAAGTGCGAATGGGCTGAACCAGGAAGGTTTTAGTCTGTGATAGCTCAAGGCGGGCACCAGTTTAATGGCTGCCACACTTCACTCCAGAAACACTGAGAATATACTAGGCTAATGTTTTTAAAAATGAGATATACGAAAAAGCTCCTTTGGGAGCTTCCCACTGAACCGGTCCTAGGACCCAGGAATCTGTTTTAAACCAGATTAGTAGGTGACTGCGTTTCACATCTGAGACTGCTTTATTCTAGGTATTAGGTGCTGGGGCCCAACATGAAAGAGATAGACCTGGTCCCTGGGTCTTCGCTATATTTTAATCACGTGTGTGGATGGGTGGGGGCTCTCCAGAGTTGTTTCTTCCTTCTCTCCTTGCACTGTGGATACAGGAGGAAGAACTCAGGAGTCCCCTTCGTGTGGCCGACAACCCGTAATTCTTCCCTAGTATATGTGAAGGAACTGGAGGCAGATAATTTTTCTTTTATTGTTTTGTGTAGTGTCAGCTGTTCTGGAACTCACTCTGTGGACCAGGCTGGCCTCCGAGATCCACCTGCCTCTGCCTCCTTGAGTGCTGGGATTAAAGAAATGCCCTACCACCGCCCGGCTTTTTTTGTTTCTTGAGACAGGTTGTCTCTATGTAGTCTTGGCTATCCTGGAACTCGCTACGTAGACCATGCTTGGGTCAAACTCACTGAGACCCGCCTGCATCTGCTTCCCAAGTGTTGGGATTAAGGGCGAGACGCCACGCCAGGTTGGTGAACTGCTCATCTCAATGAGGTAACCTGTAAACTGCAGTGGAAGGAAGGGGATGACAGAGTAGGAGTTCCTAGGTCAGACTGACGAGGGCTAGGGATGTGTTAGAGGGTGAACACCAAAGCTAAAACTTGGAGAGGGATCTGCACCACAAAGAAACACAGTAACTCACTTCTTAGAGAAAAGAGGCAGCCTCGGCCTTGAGAGATGCCAGAGAAAAGTAACGCGGTGAGAAGAAAAGACCAAAGTGCCTCCAAAGCACCCTTGTCCACCAATACGTCCACCTTTGCCTTCACTGGTCGGTTCGTTCAGCCCCAAAGCTTCCAAAAAACTCTCAGGCGCGCTACACGGGCTCTGGGGTGTGGCTCAATTCTTCTGGAACTCTCCTCCTGCAACCTACTGCTGCCCGCGACGGGGACCGCCCAACGTGATGACGTCAGTGCGCGCGCGCCTTCGGGAGGAGGAGTAGGGGCCGCGGGCCGGCAGGCGCCCAGGCTTCGGTAACCTGTGCTGGGCGGGGGAGAGGAAGGGGCGGGGCGGGGAGCCCCCCGGAGTTGCTGGGTTGCTGGCCGGGTCCGAAGCGGGCGTCCTCGGCACGCTCAGCGCTCGTTTCTTCCCCGCAGCAGGCCCCGCACGGCCCGGCGATGGAGTTTCCGGACCTCGGGGCTCACTGTTCCGAGCCGAGCTGTCAGCGCTTGGGTGAGGGGCGGAGTGCGCGGAGGGGCGGGGCCGGACGGCCGGGGCTGGGGACTGCAGGTGGGGTGGGGAGGGGAGGGTGGGCACTGCTGGAAAGGCCGGGAGGGCGGGCCTTGAAGTTGGGGGCGTGGCCAGGGAGGCTGGGAACAGCGGCCGGGTGCAGTGTGTTGCAAACAGGGCGGAGTTTTTCTTACCCGAGTAGAAGCTTTAAGCTAGAGGAAAGGACATCCAGGTTCCCTTTGAACCTGCAATCCGACCCATTCTCTGTAGATTTTTTGCCACTCAAGTGTGACGCCTGTTCGGGCATCTTCTGCGCAGACCATGTGGCCTACGCCCAGCATCACTGTGCATCAGCTTACCGAAAGGTGAGGGGGCGGTCGTGAGGATGGCAGGGGTTGATTGTCAGAAGAGGGAGAGCGGGTGCAGACACTTTCAGGGATCTGTTGTATTTCCCCCTCTTAGTTAATGTGCTTCTAACCCTATGTACTGGAAAACTTTGTTTTCTAGTGGGTGTGTGAGTGGTATAGCCAGGTTCTGTCAGAGGTTGGTTGGCCTTCAGACTGACTCCTACCCCTTGACTGTAGGATATCCAGGTACCCGTCTGCCCCCTCTGTAACGTGCCTGTGCCCGTGGCCAGAGGGGAGCCTCCTGACCGGGCTGTGGGAGAGCATATTGACAGAGACTGCCGCTCTGATCCTGCCCAGCAAAAGCGCAAGGTCAGTTAATAATGGAGGGGTTATTGACAGACAGCCCAGCTTGGAATACTAATGTCTGCGACTGGCTGGCTCCATGGGGCTAGAGGAGGAGATAAGAGTTTCATACATAACAAACCCTGCTTCATCTTAGATCTTCACCAATAAGTGCGAACGTTCTGGCTGCCGGCAGCGGGAGATGATGAAACTGACTTGTGACCGCTGTGGCCGAAACTTCTGCATCAAGCACCGTCACCCTCTGGACCATGATTGCTCTGGAGAGGATCATCTGACCAGCCGAGCAGGGTGATTACCGAGTACCCTACTTGCTTTGCTTCAACCATGTCTGCCTTGACCAAGGGAATCTTTATGCTTTTCTCCCCCTTTTCACAGTACTGTGGATTGAAGCTAGGGCCTTACGCACGCTAGGCAAGCACTCTACCACTGAGCTACTATTGCCTTGGTCCTTTTAGTTTTGAGAGGTTTCACTTCTTAGCCCAGACTGGCCTCACATTTGTGGCAATCCTTCCTCAGACCCTCAAGTGCTGAGATTACAGCATCCATCGTTCAAGCTCTTTTTAGTCCTTGGAGATGAGATTCCGCTAAGTTGCCCACGCTGTCATTGTCATTGAACTTACTGCCCTATACAGTTTTCACTTCCTGTCTCAACTGTCCAGGTAACTGAAATTACAGGTTACCTATACAGATTTTGGCCCAGTTCAACTCCTATTCAAAGGATATGGTTTTGCAGAGTGCTTAGAGGAACTACCCTCTTGACATGTAAAGCACGTCCTGTGAGGTATGTTAGAATGTCTTTCTTTGCTTCAGGCTTGCTGCTATCTCCAGAGCACAAGGTCTGGCTTCTACAAGCACTGTTTCCAGTCCCAGTCGGACCTTGCCTGTGTCTTCCTCTCCCAGCAGGTAGGCCTACCTGTTTCTCCTCTCCCTGTTTTAATTAACCCCTTCGCTCCTCTGACCACAGCCTATTTTAATGTCTGCCATAGAGCCACATCCCAGCTTCCACCCAGGACAGCCCCTCCAGTTATTGCTTTGCAGAACGGCTTGGTGAGTAGGGGAAAGCGTGGATAGACAGAAGAAAATCCAGAGAGTGAAGTCCAAGGAAACTGGTCTCTCTTTCTCCCCCTGCAGAGTGAGGATGAGGCTCTGCAACGCGCTCTGGAACTGTCCCTTGCAGAGGCTAAACCCCAGGTCCCAAGGTACCTACTCTGAATGAGCACAAGATCTGTTTCGAAGGATGGAGGTGGGAGCACTCTAGCTCACTACAGTAGCTAAACACACGGTTTCAAAATTAGATGAACTGTATCTCCCCAGAGGCTTTGATTTTCTCCGTACCAATGGCAGCGATGCTATTATCTACCCTATTGGTTACTGAAGAGATTGAGGTCACACTCAAAAGGGACATGGGACTGAGATACTCAACAGATCAAATCCTCCGATTTTAGGTATGACTCTCACCAACTCAAGCTCTTCCTTTCTCAGTTCCCAGGAGGAAGAAGACTTGGCATTAGCCCAGGCACTGTCAGCCAGTGAGGCAGAATACCAACAGCAGCTGGTGTGTGGTCTCTGGGAAATGGGTTCTGTGTTGGTGGAGGGTGAGAGCTCGGGCTGGCCCCTCTCAGTGGCGGATAGTACGGCTGTAGTGACCATCCCTTTGCTTCCTTCCAGTGACTCCAGCTCATGCTGAGCCCTGAAATGAGGCCTGTCCTCCCCTGTCCTTGACTTTATACCCTGTCTCCTCCTTCTCCTCTCCTTGCTCCAGGCGCAGAGCCGTAGCTTGAAGCCGTCCAACTGCAGCCTGTGCTAGGGTCCTGGGCTTGGGGAGGGAGGCTCACCGGAGGACTGTGGCCCTCACATCTCCAGGGTACACAAGGAAAAGAAGCACAGAGAAGCCTGGTTCGCAGAGACAAGCAGGAGTGACGAGAAGGATGCTCAGTGGGGCCTGGAGAGGAAAGCAGCTTATGCAGCCAAGCTGAGGAAGGACCCTGCTAGCTCTGCTGCTGCAGGGAGGGTGGCCAGGAACCATTCTCTTGTTGGGGTTTTGGGCAGGCGCTAACCAGACTCCACCCCAGCCCCTTTTATCATGTTATCCCTTTTCCCCTGGGGCTGCCACGCCACATGTAGCGGACAGGGAGAGGCCTGGGAAGAATAAAAACGTTGGCAGTTAGTAAGATGTCTGAGTGATGTGTTTCTTTTCCCTGTCCAACCCAAACGAAGCTGTCTTGTCAGGAATGTTCATTCAACTCAAGGGTAGTAGAGGCCCCTTGCAGTGCCCCACACAACCAAGCCACAGCCACCATTGCACAGTCCATTTATTTCCTTACATTGCTTTCTGGAAGACCCCTTTCTCTTACAATAGCTAGCACCAAACTCCTACACCAGGATAAACAGGCCAGAGAGAGGGGCCATGTCTTTTTCTCCTGAGTTAGCCTCTGGAAGGGAAGAGGTCCCTTGCGTCACTATGCTGTGTCTTTTGGTTTAGAGTCTTCAGAGGCACTTTCTTGTCCTTGCTGCTGTAGCTGCCACATCTCAGCATACACACCCTCTCGAGCTAACAAAGCTTCATGCCTGGGGTAATAATAAAGCAGGTGTTACCATCGGTCCTACCCCAATCCCAAGGAAAACAGAGGGTGAGCAAGGGAGACACCCTCCAGGAGCCTCCTCCCTAATCTTTCTGCATGGCTCACCTTCCTCTCTCTATGATGCAACCATCCTTGATGACGAGGATCTGGTCAGCATTGACCACAGTTGAGAGCCTGAGAGGTCAGACATCAGTTAACCATTACCCCCCCACCCCCCCGTTCAAAGTGGTCCACACTGCCAGCCATATCAGCCCTGTACCTGTGCGCTACTACGATGGTGGTACGGTTGGTGCAGACTTTGGCCAGAGAGGCCTGGATGGCTCTCTCATTAGATGTATCCAGTGCTGATGTCGCCTACAGAAAGAGCTTGGATGAAATGCTCTTGCTACCCAGAGGCTCCGAGGAGAGGAGGGTGCAGGCTGCTAGTGGAGGTCTCAAGGATAGTTTGGGTTCATGAGCTGCATAAGGTTTTGGTGAAGATGGACTGGTGATACCTTTGCAAGGTAGGTGACTGCTCAGAGTGGCTTAGGCACACACGGGAGAGCAGCAGGCAGGTGCTGGGGTCTCACCTCATCCAGTAGGATGATGTCCGGAGCCTTGAGGATGGTGCGGGCGATGGCCACTCGCTGCTTCTCGCCCCCGCTCAGCTTCAGTCCCCGCTCGCCCACCTGGGTGTCATAGCCTGTGGGTAGTAAGTACCTCCCTCATGTAACAAGTAAATAGACTTGGTTTCTGTGGCCAGCTGGGCAAGGAAGTGGTGGAACTGCACTTGAGGGATTAACAGGATTTCACTGGGTAGGGGGAATGACCTCACCTTCAGGGAAAGACAAGATGGCATCATGAATGCCTGCAGCCTGAGCGGCAGCCTCTACCTCGCTATCCCCAGCTGTGACGCGACCGTAGCGGATATTGTTGGCAATGGTGTCGTTGAAGAGGACAGTGTCCTGGGGCACAACTCCAATATGGGACCGGAGAGAGATCTGGGTCACCTGAATCCAAAAGCCCAAAAAAATACCCTGTCTTGTGAGATTCCTCCAGGCTTTCTTGAAGCACCAGGGATAAGAGGCCTAGGGTAAGATCCCACCCATCACCACCACAAACCCTAACTGGCTGGGCAAATCACACAGCTGCTCCAAGTCCTTCCCACTCAAGAGCAGACAACATGGCTTCTGTCTGCTTCACAGACAAGCCTACCTCACAGGGCATCATACTTTGTCCTTGTGATTACTTTCCTGGGTGACTGCTGGTCACATGACACTAAGAAGGCCCAGATTCTTTTGTTGTTGTTATTTGTTTGTTTGTTTTTTGAGACAGGGTTTCTCTGTGTAGCCTTGACTTTCTTGGACTCACTTTGTAGACCAGGCTGGCCTCAAAATCACAGTGCTCTGATTGCCTCTACCTCCCTGAGCACTGGGATCAAAGGTGTGCGCCACCATGCCTGGCTTGAAGGCCCAGATTTTTAAATTTTTGAAAATGCTGGGAATTAAACCTAGAGGCCTTAGCTAGGTCATTAAGCTGTAGCCTCAGCCTCACCCTTCCCAGTCCCTTGCCCCCCACCCCGCACACTCACATTTATTTAGAGACAGGGTCTCGCTAAGTTATTCAGGTTGGCCTTGAACTCCTTTGTAGGTTGGCAGGCCTTGACCTTGCTTTCCTCCATCCTGGGATTATAGACCTGCACCATTAGACCACGCAAGGCCCCAGCTTTTTTGCAAGGCTGATATCTCAGGGCTGCCCACCCCTTGCTGTTCTTCCACAGATCCCTAAATTACAGTCTTCTCTGAGGCAACCTTACCTGCGAAATGTCCTGCCCATCTATTCGGATGCAGCCGGAGCTGATGTCATAGAAGCGAAACAGCAGGCGCAAAATTGTGCTCTTTCCTGCCCCAGATGGGCCCACCTATTAAATTGGAAACGAGAAGAAAATTCTCAGTCCTGAGCTGGAGAGATGGCTCAGAGGTTAAGGACACTGGCTGCTCTTCCAGAGGTCCTGAAGAGGTTCAATTCCTAGCAACCACAGGATGGCGCATAACCATCTATAATTATCTGGCCTGCAGTCATCATGTAGGCAGAACACTGTATATACATAATAAACAAACAAACAAACAAATAAATAAATCTTTGAGAAAAAAATTCTCAGGCCCTCTGGCATCTAAGACTCCCTCTTTAAGAGGCCACCAACATCCAGGAAGGCTGCTACATTCGGTCTTGTCACCTAGTATAACCAGGCATTGAATGCAATCTGCAGGCACTGAGAAAAATTCAAGGAATATGGGCCCACTAACTAGGTCTCCTCTCACCAGAGCCACCGTCTGTCCAGGCATCACTGTGAAGGACACATCTTGTAAAGTCTCCCGCCTGCAACAAAGGATGGTGGATTTAGTAGTGGATCTATTGAATCATACAGTAGCAGATGGATTCTCCATCCTCAGAGCTACTAATGGTCCTTACCCTCTCCTGTCTAGGCTCTCTGTTCCCTAGCCCACAGTGGAGGATTGCTAAGCTGAGGTTCAGAGCAGGATGAAGGGCAAGAAGGCAGTGTGCGGGAAAGAGAGCGAGCAGAAAGGCAGTGCTCACCCGTCCTTGTAGCTGAAGTGAACATTTTCAAACTCAATCTGGCCCTTGTGGAAGCGAAGGGGCCCTGCTCCAGGAACGTCCTTCACCTGGAGAACACAGACAACAGGTGCTACCATTACTGGCCTGGGGCTCTCTCGATGTAAGAAACTCCCCCCCCACACCTCCAACCATGTATGGAGATAACCTAGATCCCCTGCTCAGATGTAGCCCATGGTAGCTCAGTATCCAAGTGTGTTTCCCTAGTAAGGGGAACAGGAACTATTTCTGACATGAACTCAATGACTGGCAAGGAACAGCCTTGCTAGGCCACAGAGGGGGACATGGCAGCCAGTCCTGACGATAACTGATAAGCTAGGGTCAGATGGAAGAGGAGGAGGACCTCCCCTAGTAGTGGACTTGGGAAGAGCCAGGGAGGAGATGAGGGAGGGAGGGAGGAGGGATTGGGAGGGAATGAGGGAGGGGACTATAGCTGAGATACAAAGTAAATAACCTGTGATTAATATAAAAAATAAAAATTAATATAAAAACAAACTCCCCCTACCCCATCTTACTCCTCCCTCTACTCACTTCTGTTTCCTCTTTCAGCAAGTCAAACATGTTCTCCATGTCAATGAAGTTAGTCTGGATCATCCTGCAAAAAGAATGAAGGCTGGGGCTCCCTCAAGGAACTGGGAAAGAGCATCGAACCCTGAGCCAGTGAGGAACGGGGATCAGGTTACCTGTAGTAGGTGCCAAACCAGTTGAGAGGCATGTAGAGTTGGGTGATATAAGTGCCAAAAAGCACAAAGTCCCCAACCTGTCAAGACCCAGAGAAGCAAATGTGTCACAGGAAGCCTGCAGGTTGCTCTTACTATCACTTTGTCTACCTCCCATCCAGGAGCCTAGTGGCTCACATATGGCCCTCTTCTCTGTCCCCTACCTTTTCCTTCATGATTCTGCCTCACCTGTAGCTTCTGCTCACTGACAAAGTATGCACAAAGCAAGGATCCAGCCAGGAGCCCAAGTCCAATCACCAAGTTCTGGGTCTGATTCAGTACAACCAGTGAGGCAGTTGACTTCCACTCCAAACCCTAGGGACAGGAAAACAGGAGGAAGGAATGGCCTGTATGGGCCAACCACCTCCAAATCCCAATCTGGGTCCTAGTGCCTTCAGCTTTAACCCTGGATCTCATTCTCCTCAGGCCTGGTAATGACGCAGGAGAGTTCACATGGATACCCTCACCTGAAACTTGATGATGGCCTCACGATAGCGTTCTACTTCGTAACCCTCAGCGTTGTAGTATTTCACCTGATGGATACACACAGCACACAGTTGAGGGACCATTCTCTCCAGAGTCCTGATCCCTTTTTCCCAGCTTCTTAACTTGAACTCAAGAGAGTTCTGGCTGCCTCTGCTTTTCCCCAATTTCTAATATCCCCTCCAGATCCTTATCATTTCAGTGCTCCCAACCATGCTCCTCCACCTCTCCTTGCTTCCTACCACCATCTTGGGACTTCTGTTACCGTCTCAAAGTTCAGCAGAGAGTCCACTGCTCGTGCCCGGGTGGCATTTTCCTGCATGTTCATACTACGGCGAAACTTGGCTCTCCACTCAGTGACCACAATAGTCAGAACTAGATGAGGAAGACAGGAGTGGAAAGAACAAGACATCATCCCTAGCAGCTGAGACTAAATATACATGGCCATCCCCTGTGCCACACATACTAAGCCTATGCTAGCACCTAGAGAGCCAGACCCGGAGAGACAATTGTAAATTTTCCAAGAAAAGGAGTTGTATGCAAGATATCTTTGCAGGCTGGAGAGATGGCTCAGAGATTAAGAGTACTGGCTGCTCTTCCAAAGGTCCTGAGTTCAATTTCAAGCAACCACAGGGTGGCTTACAAACATCTATAATGAGATCAGTGCTCTCTTCTGGCAAGCAAGCATAGATGCAAGGCAGAACACTGCATACATAATAAATAAATAAATCTTAAAAAAAAAAAAAAGAGAGATATCTCTGCAGCCTTATAAAG